TTTTCTCGAGACGAGACATATGATAAAAATAGGCGATAATCTCGAATGGGTGGCGCGGAAGGAGGGGCGGCGAAGAGGAATTGGTGCAATTTCAGTAGCAGTGAAAATAAAATTTATCGATGGGCATAAAAAGGCAGCACGAGAGGAGCTGCGAGTGATATTTCACGCCCGCGGAGAAATGGAATTTCTTCGAAGAAGTCGCGATGGATTCTGCGAGTTGGACTTCTTCGCGGGATAATTGGAGGCGATCTCGGGCGATAATTTGCATGGATGGGATTAAGAGCGGGTGCGCAAAGTGGGGAAGACACGACGTGAACGTTAAAATGCCAAAATAATCATAAAGTGTGATTTAAGCGAGGATTAAGCGACTCTCGCAGGAGATAACTGATCTCTGCTGCCACTTCTTGATGGCCACAGAAACGGCGATTTTATGGGCCAAGAAGCTCGCCGTCTCGCTCACTCGCGACTCTCCTCGTCGGCGCGCATAAATTTCAAATGACACACTCTCCGACCTCTCGAGGTATTGTTTCCACTCTGTCAGGAAGTGTAATTGTTATCGGCAATCCATCAGAGCTCAAACTTTGGTCGTTGCTTAGAGTTCATAATTTTGTGTTGTTATGTAGCCTTTTTTTTCTTGCCTCCGCGAACTCAAATTAAATAATTAATTTTATGTTTCTCCTCTCAGCTCGAAGACGAGCCAAAGCAGAGAGGAAAAAAATGTTATGACCCAACTATTTATTTTCACGTAATCTCTGGAGTAAGCGCAATTAGGCGAAACTTTGCATTTGTGTGTGGCGGAAAGGACATTAAACGAGGGTCAAGCCGTGTGTTTCTTGCGGAGCAATTGAGGGAAAACAAATAGGGAGCAGTAAAATAACTCCCCATGCAATTATCTGCCATGGCTTTTATTGAAAACTTTCCTAATTGGCAAATTTGGTGCTCAATTTCACAGGCCAACCCGCGACTCTGTGTCATTAAAATCAACCCCTTTCGACGCTCAGCATTGTTGCAATTTTTTCGCCACTCTGCAAATCACAATGAAACTGATGGAAATCCTGTGATTTGAAACTCACCGAGCGAAGAGCGAACAATGGATTTTAAGTTCTTTGTGAATCGTAACGTTTGTGCAAAGGGTGAAACTATGTAGTTTTGATTTTTGAGGGTTAAATAAATTCATTTACATTTATATTGTGGTTCAGAAAGATGTTTGAGCGAAGAGAACATAAAATTTTATAAGCTTAAGATTAATACACGACATTCTCTAGAAGATGTTTGCGAAGTTTTGCCAGAAATTCTTCTTTATCAGACACTCATTGATTAATTGAGATGGAAAAGAAGAGTTTACCAATTTTGTCTACACAAAATCATGACGAATTTCAACTGATAAGTGCAATAATAATAATATTTCTGAAACCACTTTAAACAGTGCTGATAAAATCCTTCTTAATTTGACGCAAGATGATGAAATTGCTTGACCGAAAACCAACCAGAACTGATTCACGAATTGTGCGTAGAACCTTTTATCAATTCGGTGGACGATTGTAAAAAAGAGCTTATCTGGTGTAAATTGATTGGGAGGCCATTTAAATAACTTCTCAATGCACTACTTTTTTCCGCGAAAAGTCACTGGAAAAACACCCGCGATACGCCTTTTTTTATCGTTCTGAGGACAAGATGTGTGCAAAAGTGCGGAGCTGATAAAAATCACGAGCAAGTGATTCAGAAGTGACGACAATTTATGGCTGTGTTTGAGGAGGAATTTTCCCTAAATGCAGCCGGGAAATTCATTTTCCCCATCAGTGCATTCTATTGGGATTCTGGGTGTCAGCCTCGGGATGGAGATGCACTTCTCCAGTGGAAGAATTATGGCTTCACACGTGTGTAATTCATCTGCTCTCAGAAGAATAAATTATTGGTCTTGAGTGTTTTACGGGCGTTGGAAATTCGACCCTTGGTTTCAGGTCACAAGTCTCTTTCTCAGTTGTGTTCTTCTTTTTTCCGGCTGTGCCGAGATGCTTGTAAAAGCGTACAGAAGTGCACCATTTCAGCGGCAAAGGATGAGGTTTTTTTTCGCTCTGGCTTTCTGTGTGAGCGCACGAAAGGCCCAAATATTTATGGTTCATGTGAGGAAACAGACATTTTCTGAATATTTACTAACATAATTCCTTTTATTAATATGCATCGGACTCGGAAAGAGACCTCATTCTGAGACTCTTATCTCGCGAGCTGCTGAAGCTGCTTCGCTGGCTTTGATTGGTCTTTAATACGTTCGGGAATCATTAGCGGAGGTTTTCTGGCCGCGGAGCGCAGAAAAACCGCCGCCGTCATGAGATCCGAAATTGCCACGAGACTGATTCGAAGAAATATTTAAACAATTTTTTTTGCCCCTCATCTTCCAAACACCAAATTGATCTCTAAATAATGAACAGAGCCTTGAGAGAAAATAAACACTTTAGAGCTGATTTTATATTTATTGTTTCTGTCGTCAAGAAAAACGCCCGAGATTAATCGCGAAGAAAAATCGCTCGAAGCCCCGCAATTTCGTTCGGAAATCCATCTTCAATTGGGGGGCTATTGAAATGCATGGACTTTTGTGGTGAAAGAAAAAGAGAAAATCATCCCAGAAAGCGCATAAATTAATAACTCTTCATTCGCATTTCGGAGGCACAACACAAAATCCACCTTTAATTATGTAAAATGCCCAGAGTTTCAGTTGTTGTGCCTTTTTTTTATCTAATTCCTCCTCTAAAGTCTTTTACGATGGAATAAATCTCGAGATGTGATGTTAAAATTCACAGCGTGATATTGTTAATTAAAAGCATCTAACCACATTTTTTCAACATATCAATTAACTAATTATTAGTTTACGTTTAATTAGTGGACAAGTCGCAGATTGCAGGGAATTCCGTTTATTTGTGATAAAATTAGAATAACGATTTATCGAGAGAAAACTGTGTCGCCGATAAGCGTGCGACATTCCCAGTGAAGAGCGGCAGAAATTCCGCTGCCACTTCCTCTGATTTGAACTCAGGTTTAAAGCTCCGGCTTCGGGGCCCGTCTCAAGGACGAGCGGCGGCTCTTGATGTCCTCCGGGACGCAAGGGGGCGCCGCGGGCCCACGGGATGCACGCAAGAGTCCCAACAGGTGTGCGATTCCCGTCTTGTCTGCCGAATTCGCACATAAAACCTTTCATTTGCTAGTTTTATGCTTCTTATGTTCCATTTTTTCACTCACCTTTTGTCTTATTTTTCATGTTCTCTCGCTCGTTTTATGCTTTGCCGTTTTTTTTGCTCAGCAAAAACCATCAAATCGATCGCGACGGCAAAAGGAGGTTCAACGCTTAGGGGCTCTCAGGTTTAGCGAATGAGGTACAAAAAGAGCGCCTGAAATTTTTACCCGTTTCAGCAGGTTTCGAGGGATAAATTTTTACATTTGAGGCTGACACAGACAGACTCAAGACAGACGTAATCCTAAGATAAAATGAAATAAGTCTGGTTCTTCTGAGGAAGACTTAACATTGCGTTTAAGAGGGACAACTTTTGCACACAGGACGATTAGGCCCGGACCTGAATCTACAGCAATTGGATTTAATTCTCACCCGTTAGAGTCAAAGGTAAATTTCGGCGGTGATTTTTTTTTCCATTGCGGTTGAGTATTATTTATTTTGCACTCTATGACAAATAGTGTCTTGAGATTTTGCGTTTAGTTGTGAAACCACCGAAAAAACGTCCGTGTGGAGAAGATGAGACGATCATCAGGTGGAAGCACCGTTTTAAGTGAATCACACTAATCGTAGACCGGCCGTAATCGCGCTGGTCTACGTGTCGAAACTTCTTGAACGTCCAGTACATTGACCGCTCGGATGATTCACCCCTCGCGGACTGGCTGCCAAAAACGCGGCGTGTTGGCTCACGAATGCACTGTCGTCATCCAGGCCCGCAGCCCAGCTGCCAAGAGCCAGTGTCATTAGCGCGAGATGGTCAAGTTCTCGGTAATTAGAACAGGCGAACCTGAGCAACATCTCTGCAGATGCTGAAGTCGCTTTTCCCATTTCCACGGCGCCGAAGGTCAATCGCTGATTAATTTCATGCGTGATTGACTCCTCACGGGAAGCCAAGTGTGCGTGCGCGCACACTAGCAGGCCGAGGAAATGCAACAGCTGAGAGAACTGGATGAGGAGCGCCATGAGAGACGCAGATGTGGAGGAGAAATTGAGACTCGAGATAGAGCGAAGAATACAAAAAAAAAACACACTGAAAATCCGGTTGTCTCAGCTGTTCTCCACAGTCGCGCTCTCGCTCGAGTTGCGCTGGCTCTCGCTCGCACGCACGCGTTGCGTGACAGGACCTGTCAGGGTGGCAGACGTGCGAGGATTAGGATTAAACCCGATTGTGTGGATGTTTTGATGAGTGATGTGGAATTTTACGGCCCTTATCGCGCGGATTTGCGCGATATTTTTCACACGATATCAGGCAGAGCGACTCGGGCGTGATAAGGAAGCCTTGGCAGACTTCTTGGAGCTGAATTTCGTCATGGGACGAAAGACATCAGTCGCAATTACCCTCAAATTCACCACTTATCGATTGTCGCGCACCCTTCGCGCTCTCCTCCGCGAAATCATCTGTTGGCGCTGCACTGCTGGACGACTTGGTGGGGCGCGGTCGCGGCCTGGGGAAGTGCGTGTCGCTGGCGCTCGGCCGCGGCCGAAGGACTCCTCGTCCCTGTCGCACGCACTCACGAAGGGGGCCGTGGTGAATTTCCTGCACGCACACAGGCGCCGCCAGCGCGTCGACGAGCAACAAATACGGCCCTGCGCGCGTGTGTGCGAGCGAGAGGGACGCATGCGTGAAGTTGGCCGCGAGCGCGCGCGTGTTGGTGAGGTAAATAAGCGTCGGACACTTATGTGCGGCCCACCAACACACGGCGGCGCGGCGTGGTGGGAGAGAACAGCTGATGCCTCTGGCTTCCGAAGCAAAAGTGCATTGGAAGAAGTCGGTGTGCTGTGCTGAGCGGATCAGTGCTGAAACAGCTGTTAGCGAGAATAGTCGGAAATTGTGGGAGCTGAAGTGTTGCTTGGCTCACAAACGGTTCCCAATACAGACACCCTCTCTTTGAAGACATAGAGTCTGAGTCTCTGGCAATCGAGTCAGTCGCGATAGGGCATCCCCCTAAGAACGTCCTCTTCTCTTGAAACACAGCGGCATCCAGTGAATATTGGCAGATTATTAAAACTCTTGTGCGAAAGATTACTTGGTCGCTTCGCTCCCATGAAAGGGAATCGCGAGTGTTTGAATTTTCATGGAAATCCTACGAGTTCTCCACACGAGATTCACTGTCAATCTCAATCACGGGAATTCGTATAATCAAGTGAGTGTTTTTTTCCCTGAAAATCAACATCTGTGTGCAACTGTGGTGGTCTTTCTCAGTTACTTCTCCGGAGCGAATAATTGTTACGATATATTTCATGCCGAGAACACGATGCGATTTTACTCAATTTCGGGCCTTTTTCGCTCTCTCGCTGGAAGAGATTCTCACTTTGGGGATCGACTTGACGCGATTTTCGGTGGAAATTAGCACTGTGTGTCCAAGGCAATGGCATCGGCGGTATGCTCGCATGGGAAAATGATAGTGCAAATAGCGTTGCCACAGTGGAAGAGACGCGTAGAGAGAAGCTGATTTTGAGTTTATTTATATGAGCGAACGTAGGAAAATATCGCGGAAAATCAGTGTTGAAAGTTTTCTGCCCATTGAAGAGCTTTTGAGTGCGACGTAGATTGTTTACGTGGAAAGATTGCGAATTCACGGGAAGAAGAGACTCTGTGTTTGATTCGGAATTTACGCACTTTACGGGCGCTCACGGGAAAAGTGTGTTTTGATGAGATGAGTTTCGTTGTATAGTGTAAAGGTGGGCCAATGTGGCGAGTCTGCAATAAATCACACGCTAGAGATTTCACCTTGGACAGAATCTCTCAGGGAAAAGGAGAAAAAAAAAGAAGAAGTTGTATCGCGAGAAATGCGTGTTTAGGTCACACTATTAATAGACGAAACTGAAAATTTCATCGTCATTTTCGCAATAAACACCAATTTTGCTTGGTATAAACAATCACACCATGAGATATCAGGGCGAAAACAAGATTACGGAACTTGAGAAACTACGCGCCCAAAGATTATTGAGAGTGCAAGTGTGAAGATTTGTGCTTTAATCCTTGGCGGTTTTGCTTGTGTGAAACAATTTCGCCCGCACTTAACCCAAATCCCCCAAAATTGCATTCGCAAAAGTAGAGTCAAAACAATCGCGCGCGCCTCAAAATTTAAAATGATAATTTGAATCTCACCTTGAGTGAGTCAGAAAATATCGCCACTACGAGATTATTAAGTCCAAATGACCACTGCAGTTGCATATTAGAGTAGGTCGTCTTGTGATTTGTGACTTCAGCCTCAAACATCCTTTTCTCTCTCTCTTCTATTTGCAGTAAAGACATTTTTTGCGTGAAGTGCGTTGGTGAAGAATTGTATAGTGACAGGAGAGCAGTTTATTGAAAGTGTGAACGATTTTTTCTGTGAAGCAGGAAGAAACTTTGGCGTCGTCTGTCCACAAAATGGTACCCCAGCATTCACAAGAGGGTAACATGACACGTACAGACATTGAGTCTACCACCGCGGCCACCGATGGCCTCCAGCACACCAGGATCGTCTTTGGATCGCAGCTCGTGGATAAAAACTCCAGCACCCCCTATTCAGATGCCACCAAGGTGAGTTTTTCTGATAAAAAGTGTCTCTCTCTGTTCTTCCGCGAGTGGATTTCCGCGTTTCGGAGATAGTGTGACCTCTGGTGCTTCCTGTGCCGAAATATCGCATTGTGACATTCCCCGATGATTTCCGTGTGCGCGGAGATCCAATGAGTCAAAGTTTGGCGAAAATCTTGGCCTCTTTCCGCGCCTGGCGAAGGTGTGAACACAGGAAATTGATGATTTTGTGCGCGATGGGATAAACAAAATGTACACACACGTGAAGAAGTGGCCCACGAAAGTCCACAGCGCGAAATTAATTGCATCAGATGGGGGCAAATTATGGTTTGGCGTTTGGTGTGAGTGCGGGAAAACAAAATGTGCGGCGATAATACCAATTTTGATAAGCTATCTCGCGCCATGACTCTGTACTTGGTCGTCGCAAGCTGAACGGTATGACTTTTCGCGTGTGCTTGTCATCCTTCTCAGCTCTGGCTTTTCGCACACACAGCACAGACCATAAATGCGCTGGAAAAATGTCAGTGTCGCCGAGCTCTGAGGGTCCTAGAGAGAGAGATAGAGAGGCCAAAGTGATCTGGGAGAAACTTGTGTTGTCCTCAGAAGATGAAAGCCAATCGGAGACAGTGTGTCTTCAATTTTAATTACTGCTAGTTTTACACGCCAAATGACTTAATGCGTTTTTGATTAATGCTCCAGAGTGAAGAGACTCCTCTGTTTTCCCTCTCGTCTTGCCACATTCTGAGTGACTGATTAAAATAATCGGTTTTCCTGCGGCGCTAATGATAAGCGCGGGGGGAAAATACAGATAGAATATTGGGTACACTCTCGAATTTACAGAATGTCTTTCAAAATCCTCTGCTGACTCACAACTCTGTTTGGCTCCATCGCAGGCACACACACGAAATTTCCTAGAGATAAAAATTTGTTGGCATGGAGAGCGTGTGTTTGTTTGATGCAGTTGCTATTTGAAATTGAACAGATTTTCCTGAGAACAGCCACACTTTTTCCGGTGGCCCAAGAAGAAAGCCACAAAGTTTCACTCCCAGACACATTTTTCACGGTAAATTCGATAGATAAATTAATGGCAGGAGAGAGGATTTTTCTCCACTACGCTCTGTGTTGCACTGCTAGAAATCGTCGCGCACACACACGGATGTTCGGTAAATATTGGTAAATGTGTGGTCTTGATGGCAAACATTTAAAATTGTTAAATAACATTGTATATCTGTCCTACATAGATAAGGAGGGAATTATGTGATTTGAAGGCACACTTCAATAAATCCCCACAAGCACAAGGAAGTGCGCAATCGAGAGGGCCCCCAAAAGTGTGTGTGGTCCCTTCCGAGGGATATTCCCATTGATTTGGCGCACAACATCCCAAGGAAGGGACGCACAAGATGTCAGGCTGAATAGAGCGGCCCTGCTGTATTTTTATTTATGACGATGATAAATTTTTTTATTGGGTGAAATGAATGAAATTCAATTGAAACATTTACATATTCAATTAAACCAATTTATTGCTGGGCTCTCTGGCTGTGTGCGTGCGACACTCGGTGCTGGATTCGGGCATTGAGGGTTCATTGATTTCCCAGTGACACTTCCGCATAATTCACAATGTGTGCTGTCACTAGGCGTGAGGGTGGGAAAAATGCATATGACCTCCTTGCGGATCAGCGAAGATTGCTGTGAAGTATTGAGGGAATTGGTGGGCAAATATTGAGGAGAGTCGCGCTGATATTTAATGTTGGCGACTCTGTGGTTCCTCTGCTCTATCATTAGAATAGCCATTTACCCAAAGAGTGGAATGGGAGAGGAGAAAAAACTATGAATATTGCCCAATACAGCCACATTTTGAGTGACTGTTTAATTTAACCCGGTATATAATGAGAGTAAATATGAGGAGAGGCTTGCAGGCGTGTGTTTTTTACACCCAACCTAATACATCAGGTAAATGAACTTGGGTCGCTGTAGGAAATTCAATGTCAAAAAAGAGTATGGGATTAGACAAATATTTTAGCGTGTACACCAATTTGGAGATTATTTGTTGAAACACCTTCGACCCGCGTGATTAGGAGTCTATCGCGGTGTGTGTGTGTGTGTGTGTGTTTGTGTGTCTCTAGCTTAGAGTCCTCTTGCCCCAAAATCCAATTATTTTGAGTGACAATCACTTACTAGTGCTTCTGCGACTAGTTTTTTTTTTATTTGGACCGCACAAAAAGCCCCCCACCAAAGTGACTTAAGTCAAACAGTCACTTTTTGCTCGTCTCTAATGCCGAATTCTACGCCTCACCTTCGATCAGCTGTTCGACATGTCGCGCCGTGTGATTAGGATAGTTTTGGACACTGGTGGTGCTCGCGCAGACGGAAAATGCGGCCCAGCAACGCTCTCTGGGGATTGTCTGTCGATCTTCTGGAGGAGATGCGAGGCGAAGTGCTGAGGGCGGACGGGAAAAAAGTGATTGTGTTACCATGAAACGTGAAATCCATTACCGGGGCAACAAACGATGAATTTTATATACAAAAGGCTACATATAACTACTTTTTTGACTTAATGGCTTTTTCACAAAAGCTGCCACAGATAAGCGCTTATCTCAATCTTTAATACAGAAAGCGCGCACACGGAGGGTCTATTTTGTGTCACTCTCTGGCTCTTTGCCGCTGGGGTGGCCATCCGCCCCGTTTTTCACAGTGTTGGCGCATAATTAGAGAATTCGCAGGGCTCTTGAGCTGAGAGAACACTCTCGGGGATATCGCATTGTGCCTCACCAGCGAACCGAGAGATTTTTCGAGTGTGTCTTTTTGTCTCATGTCGATGGGGGGAAAAAAGAATCTTTTTTTTTGCCCCACTCTGCCAATAGAGAAGGCCTACAAATGGTCGTTACATGTAGAAAATTTCAATAGAACATGAGGCGCTTTTTGCCGCGCATGAATTAATGGTATTGTGACAAAATATTGCTCTCTTGGGTGTTTGATTGATTTTCCATCGAAAAAATTTCGCCCAAAACGAGGGACACAAAAAGATAGACAAGTTGAATAATCATCGATGATGACGATACACGCGTGTTTTTTCTGTGCTGTGTGTCGGTTGGAAAAATAAAGAGAGAGAGAGAGAGAGGCTCCGAAACCCCAACCCCACCGCGGCTCCGCGATCCGCGTGATTCTCGGGATGATTAACCGAAAATTCTCGGCTGCCAGGCCTTTTTTCTGCCACAGTGCCCACTGGGTGGCTCCGCATAGTTGGTGTGCGCGAGATTTGGGTATGCTGGTTCCGGGTGTTGGAGTGATTGTGAAAACTTTCCGCTACTTGAGTCAATTTTCATGATATTTCTTCCCATGGCAAAAATTGGCTAAAGTCTGGGGTTTTTTTTTCTTCGCGCGCGCACACGTTGATTAATGATTGGAGAAAATAAAATTCAATAAATTTCCGCCACTGTCGCTGGTGGAGAAAGTTTTTTTTTTGCCTCCTTATCGCAATAATCCCTTCTTCCGACAACACAGCCTGCGATATTGTACCTCTTCTCGTGAAAAGCGTTTAGGGAACATCGTGCGCTGCCAATATTTCACGATCAAATATTTTATTTAAAAGCCCTCCTCGCTTTTTGCCACCAGCACAGGGGGAGGAAAATCGATTGAATTACCCTCTGCCGCATTTTCCATCAAGTCAGTTTCCACCGGGTGAAGCAATACAAGAAAAGCGGAGAGAGCGAGAGTCCGGCTAGAGGAGGAATATTAAGCAAATAGAATTTAAATATGCGGCTGGCAAAGTATTGGAAAAGTTGGATTTTCCCAACATTTCTCTCCCCACACACGCGCTCACAATGTTCAGCTCCTCTTTTTGCATCGTCGTCGTCAGTTTGTCTACCTCGGTGGCGGTGAGAAGAGAGAGAAAAAAAAAGAGTGAACATGGGAAAACCTATAAAATTATAGAGACTATCATGCCGAGTGTAACACAATATTTTCTTGCGGGTGGCTCAGAAAGGGCTTTTCTATCCCACTATTTAACTTGCCATTTGCAAAGAGAGATAGAGCTTCAGCGGCGGGGCTTACAACTAGTCATCGTGTAATGGAATATGCTTGGGAGTTTTTGACAAGAAGACGCTGAGTTGAATTGATAGATCTACTTTTTAAGATTATGTGGGGGTTTTTAACCCAATTTCAAGGCAAATGTTTTAATAGCGATAGACTGAATCAAGTCCAAAGGTCGCAGTTTTCTTTGGAATTGGTTCGGGAAGAATTGTTCGGACGTGATTTTTGTATAACAAGATTACGTGCAGCGTCATTCTTAAATCAAACACACCACGAATCCCAGTGTTTATAAAAGGATTATTGGATTGTTTGCTAATCCTTTAGAATGGGAGTCAATGGGAATCTAATATGACGGGGAGTTTGGCGGTATGTAGAATTTGGGATTCAGTGACTTGATTTATGCTGGGCTGTATTTGCGCTGAATTGCCAAGGAGCCATTGCTCACGCGATATGAATAGCCCCTCGCCGTAACCAATTTGTTGAGCCGTAAGAGAGCTCATAGAAATACAATGGACTTTTACAACTCTGAAGCATTTACAGACGACAGTAAATTGTGGGTATAAAAGTGGATCAAACCACAAGTTCATATCGTCGAACCACTAAAATAGGGAGAGAGATAGTAGGATATTTGGTGCGCCGCGCGCGAGAAAGTCACGTGGGGTGAGAGTTCTGGCAGAAATATCATTCTTTTTTTTCAAAATATCACACTCATATGATACAGGGCGAGAGAGAGAGAAGAATTGAGGTCAATAGACGGAGGAATGTGACAAGAAAGGCAATTTGATTATAGCTTATCGACATGGCGAAAGTGCGTACTTTCGCGGACTGATTTAAGCCACACACAAACGTCGCGCTTATCATTGAGTGCGTTCTTCCCCCCGAAAAAAAAATTATAATGATTGTTAATTGTTTATCGGGCATGCTTTTATCATCTTTTTTTTTGCACACTCTCTATGGCTTCTATCTCACCGCGAAAT